TCTTCAAGCTTCTTCACCAGCTCCAAGGAATGCCTAGCCAAGTTATCAGGGGAGAGGTGGCCCACAGCTCTACAAGCCGCAGCACGGACATCGGAATGCGAGTCTTCAAGCTTCTTCACCAGCTGCAAAGAATGCTTAGCCAAGTCATCGGGAGAGAGGTGGCCCAAAGCTTTATAAGCCGCAGCACGGACATGGAATTCGGAGTCTTCAAGCTTCTTCACCAGCTGTGAAGAATGCTTAGCCAAGTCATCGGGAGAGGGGCGGCCCAAAGTTTTACAAGCTACAAGACGGACATCGAAATTGGAGTGTTCAAGCAGTTCTGACCAAGCCTGGGCCATGTCAGGAGAAAGTTTGCCCAAGGCTCGAAATGCTGCAGCACGGACATTCCTCGCATCATCATCCAGCAGTTTTTCTAGGTCAGAGAACCTGATTGCTAAGTGGTGCAGAGGAAGTTTGCCCAAAGCTTCACAAGCAGTAGCCCGAACGCTTCTTTCCGGGTCATCTAGCTTCTTCAGCAGCAGCGAGGAATGCTGGACCAACTCATTGGGAGGAAGTCTGCCAAGAGCTTCACACGCTGCAGCGCGGACAATGACATCAGAGCTCTGCAGCCTTTTCATCAGCTGCACCTTAGCTATCGACCATCTTGCCAACTTTTTACTTTCGGGGTTGATGTGTCCTAAGTGGTTTTCTGATGTCTTCCAGAAGCAAAGCTCGTCAGGGCCATTGTGGGTCATCAGGTTAAGTCTCAACATGCTTGATCGAAGCTGCGAGATGTGGCGGCAGCCGGCTGAAGCCATCGAAGACCTGCGAGGTAGAACTTGTAGTTCAGTTGGAGGGATTTCCCAACCGCAGAAGTTTCAATACATGAAGCGCGCAATCTCTTCACAAGAGTGCGAGAAGAAGGCGCTCCTTCTTATCTCCTGGTGAAGCACATGAAAGAGGTAAAATCACGACATCCCAGCCTTGAGTAGCCAATACAAAAGATCTTCAGGTGGGAATGCATGTTGCATGCATTTCTGAAGCACCTGCAAACAGCAATGCATCTGGTGGAATCTAGGCCCGAAGAGCCTGCATTGCCTTGTTCCAAGCTGTGAGGTTCAGAAGTCTTTCGCGTGAACAAACCCCAGATCTGACCAGTTTTCTCAGCAGAATCACTTAATTTCACCTGTGCTTGGAGGGTGTTCAACCAAACTCGACGCATTTCACCAATTCCACCGATTTCCCCGATCCCTTCTGGCGCCTCCTTGGCCTCATTGCACATCCTCAGTGGACTCGAATCAAGCTCGCTGCTCAAGACCAGAGTGGTTTAGATAGACCCAGGGTACACCAAGCCAATCCGGAACAGTAATGTCAACTAACTCAGATGTGGTCTGACAATGCCTGCCATGGTCAAGGGCGTTTGTGGGAAGTCCATTTCTTCCAAGGTCATGGAAGCCTGAATTTGAGGCACTGCAAGGGTTGCCAATCAACGAATGCAATTCTGCTCATCTTGCAAAATGAGCAAGCCGTCTGCCAGAATTGGCGAAATTCCATGGACCTTGGAAAAACCTCATTGTTTCTGGTATTCGTGAAGGCGGTTGGCTTTCTTGGCACCTTCTGTGATTCTTTTGTTGTTCTTTCCAAAACTCTTGGTCATTGAGAACCGAATTCTGAGACTAGCACCTCAGAGAGAGAGAGGGAGGGAGGGAGGGAGGGAGGGAGGGAGGGAGAGTCTCCAATGCAAAACATAGCGTGGACTGTATAGGTCTTCAATACCCCAGTGTTTGCAATGATTTTCTCTGGCAAGCTACCCTTATTACTCTAGTAAGTAGTAGGGGGCCTCAATGGCGTTGACATGTTCGTCTCTTTCCCTGAGGAGGTGCACAGGATTGCTATTGCGTTGCCGGGCTGCATCTCTAAGTCGGGTTTGCCTTGAATCGCATGGATCAAGAATGCCGCAGCATGCACCACTTGGCAATCGTACCTGAAAGCAAGTCTTTAAAGGCTTGAGGAAGGCTGTGTTTCAACCTGGGCAAATAGACGCATCAGGAATGGGCTTGCATCATCTATAGAGGTCCCCAAAGTGGTCAAGGGCATACTTCAGACCAAAACAAACCAAGGCTGGAAAATGGTTGAACTATGTACGGTTTGAAAGTTTGGTACTTTTCATCCAAAAATGAGATGCTGATTTCAAACGCAATTGGCTTGGCCCTGCCTGCCGGCAGCAAACTTCTCCAGCAGCTGAAGGAGTTCTCCATCTTTCCAGTCCAGAGTAGGCCAGTGAAGACTTGTCACGAAATGAGGATCCGCATTTCGATACGGGCTGCACCTCGGCCAAACTTACCTCACAGTCTAAACTGGTATATAACAAAACACTGCAGAGTATCTGCTCTCAGCCTTAGGCCAACAGTAGAAGCAAGCACAAAGAATGCTTGTGACAGTTGAAACCTAGCTGTTCAGCTAAGATCATCTCATGGAGCGAGGCACCAAGTCTCATCATTGAGATCGCGATGGTTATTGAACAGTCGCACTTGCCATTCTTCCGGAGACTCGCCCTGCTTCTTCAAGAGTTTTGTTGCGATCTCGCGAAAGAAGGAACCGTTCAACCGCACCACCTTCCTTGGCTGCCAAGCACCAAGCAGAATGCTGCCGAAGCGATACCAGAAAACTCAAGTCAATGGCAGACAGTGAAGCCTTGAATCTTCAACTAATTAATGTACTTTGAGCATCTTTGAGATATCCCCAGACTCAGCAGTAGCGGAGTAGCATTTTTTGTCACTCCGCTACTGCTACTTGGGCGATACTCAAGGGAGATGCTAGAATTTCGGAGATACTTCAGATACAAATCTGAAGAGAAGGTGTCGCAGCAAAGGTCAAAAGATCTGGCTTGAAATGGGTATGTGACCTGCTAAAAGGGAACCCTTCAGCTTGACCCCTTCTAGGTCTTTGTGACAAATCTAGTGTATTTATGGGTGCGTAACAAGAAACCATCTGCAGTATCCACAGGGTAATTGTCTGTGTGTGTGTGTGTGACTTGCTGCTGCTTTCAAAGCTTCGAAATCACAATGTCCTCCTTTGCTCTCATCCCTTCCACCTGGCACACCAATTCGTAGAAACCTTCACAACCAAAAGCGGGCATTATCCGCGGACTCTCGGCAAAGGCCCAGGCTGCTGAAGAGCGCCGTCGTTGGTCGACAAAGTCTCCAAGACTGCGGTTCAGTGCATCTGCATCTAGCTTCACGGGAGACAAAAGGAGCACCCAGCAGCTGCCTTTCAAGATGTACGTGCGAATCTCCTCCATCTCTTCTATGCCTTACTGGTCAAAACAAGGATCCTACCAGCTGTCGATCGGCAAGACACATGACATAGATCCAGAAGGTTCGCTCAAAAACTGGGACACATGTACTTCATGACCAAAATGCTGAAACAAAGGCCCAAGTCCTGCTGGCATTTCTGCACCGTCATCATCAGTGCTTCCGTGAGGTCTTCTCCATCGGACTGGCTTACAGCCGACACTCCTTGGCCCCACAATTTGATGCACAAATGTCACAATCTCTTCTGCAATTTGGAGTATAGAAAATTGCCTCCTAATCAGCACATTGGCTTTACGGGTGCCAGACGTTGTGAGCAAAAAAAAGGTACAATCCCTATGATACTTAGGACAAAACTCCAGGAATATTGTGTATATAGAAATACTCCTCCAGGCAATTCTTGACCTCGTCTTCTTCGCCCATTCGTTCAAGTCGTGCATCCGGAAATCTTCTCTCAGTGTAGTAGGTTCCCAGCATCCGCAGCATATCAAAAATTGGCCGGGAAGGAAGGCCCTTGCCTTCCTCCTTCCATGTGCGAATTGCCTTGCCAAGCGCACCAACCACATCATCTGGCAAATTGTGCAACACCCGCATATCCAAAGTGCCGTCATTCTCATCCGGAGGTTCCCACTCTGTTTGTGCATAGCCAAGACTCCCAGAAGAGGTCTGAGACAGCATTGATTTGACCTGATCTAGGTCATTGCAGGCTATGATGCGGAGTTGCGCTTCGAACCTGTGATAATTGCTTGCTTGATCATGAAATCGCTCAATGATTTCAGCAGCAATGGCTCTATGGTGGGCAAAGGGCATATAGGGATCTGAATTGTCTGACTTCAAGATCTCATCGTTTGCAAGTGCATGTAAGTGATCCGAGACTAGTCTAGCCTCTCGCATGGGATGAATCCAAGCAGGGTCGTACTCAAGATGCTCGCGAGTGACGAATCTCTGAGTTTCAAGGTCGAGACCGCGAGTTTGACCAACTGTGACGACGGGCGGTGCATGAAGGTCTCCGAAGGTCACAAGCTCACTGTCAGTCAGCAAGGAGTCCTGCAGATCCACGAGACTTGGTGGGCCAGATGCCAGGTTGAAGCAAAATGCCTTTGCAAAAATGCAAGTGTCCAACATGGCCTGGCCGACAGCACAGGCATACATGAAGATATACCTATTCAGGCCTGTTGACGGCCAGGGCTCATGAATGTTGGGCGCGACAATGCGTCTTCCACTCTTCTTCTCATGCCAAACGTCTCTGTCAGGTTTTGCTTCCCGGCAGGCTGCAACCACACACCAAACCGTCAATTTAGTCCGGTGTTTCAAGAGGTTGAAGAGCGTATCTTCTAGCCACAAGCCTTGGTGGAGCTGATCTTTCCTCGTCAAACCCGGTCTAAGAAAACCGTGCGAATGGGGCTTGAGGGGACAAGGAAAATAAGGCCAAGGAAAGGCAAGCGACCGTTGACAGTGTCTCCCAAGTCCTCACCTTCGTCATCCGATAAGTATGATCCGAACTGCTCAGCCTTTGGTATCAGCAGAGTATAGCCCTTATGCTGGCCATCCTGACAACCATAGCCATGGCCAGAATACCAGACAAAAACCTTGTCCTTCTCTTTAAGCTTCGCCACCAGTTCTTCCAGTTTCTTTATGATCACAGTCTCCGTTTCATCAAAGATTTCCACCACCTGATCTCGAGTACCTTGGATTCAGCAAAAATCGCAGAGAAGCACCTTCAGTTACTCCCCTCAAAACCACTGGCAGCTACTGGGTGGGGTGAACTCAATTGCTCCAGATGTTCTTCTGGTATGGCTGCCACCCCAAGCCAACACCTCGAATTCACCGTACCCAAACCCAAACATGGCTGTGGGTCACCACCAGGAGACCGACTTTGGTTGGACCTAGTGGACCGGTCCAACTCGCGGCAAATGCTGGACTGCTGGACGAGTCGGGGCTTCAGCTTTTGTACCTCTCCATTTTGGTGCGCCCGGGAAGATTCACATCAGAGGAAAATTGTCATGCAAAGGCCCGGCTCCATGTGGGTCTCTGCCCCTTTTTCGAAGTTCGAGGTACAAAGGCCACAGTGCACACACGCCTCACCTACGAGTCTCGCATCATCAAGGACGTAGGTCAGGTCGGGACCGTTGACGATGAGCACCACATACCTCAAAGCGAAACAGTGCTGTGCACGTGTACCACCTCAAATGACCCCCCTCTGAAGCAGCATGACACCGCTGTTAGCAGCGGGGGCGTCTTGTTCAACAAGGTCAACTTCTGCAGCGTTTTACATCCAAAAGAAGAGGTGGAGAAGTGGATCAGGAGAAGACACTGCAAACGGCGACCCATAATAAATACAGTGGAAACCCTGCTTCTCTACCGAGTTTCCTGTTTTTAAGCAGTTTGGACTTCGTGGCACCTTCCTGGGTTTTTCCTGCAGGCCAGCACCCCCAGTCCTGTCCTACACACATTGAGTGGTTACTCCTGACACAGGATGCCACAATGCCAGAGCAACATAACGTCAAAGATGGTCCACACTGTATGGTCCCCCGTTCCACGACATGAACAGGATGTACAATACCTAGACCACAGTGTATCATACACTACCATACTGTCACAGGATGGATATATTTGCCATCTGATTAACCATCCCAAATTGGGGAGGAATTGGTTCATCAAACAGTCTACATTTGGAGAGTGGACGCACGCACTGAACTGCGGAGAAGAAACGCCCGTGACGGTTTTGACGAACGGGGACCGGTGACTTCCGTCCACTTCCGTCCATCCAATTCGGTCTAAATGCAATCCATTGCGCCATCCTACCAGCCGAAGGGATGGAGCCAGGCTCGGTGCTCCCCTCCCCTCTAGTAGAGTAGAGTTCATTTGGGAAAGAGAACACTGGCTTGGAAGCTTCACGAAACTGCTGATAATTTGGGGGCCATCTTTTGCACCTATCTTGACCAAAAGACTGCCCAAAGATATCCAGAATAGTCCAGAGTCAAAACCAACCGAGAACCTGAGTCACCTCTATATCTGAATCACCAACCACCCAAAATATGGTCTTTTCCTATCAAAACAAAGGTCCAATTGGCTCTAGGAATATCTTGGCTTCAATGTTCGGGTTCCGCCCAGACACCAACCTTTCCTCTCGTCGGCCATGACGACAGCCCGACCGCCACCGGGAGCTGTTGGACTTGGACTTGGCTGATTTGCGGATGGTTGACCTTTCGCTCTATGTTCTTAGATGTTCTTAGTGTTCTTACCTTCATCACAAAAGAGGCCAGTCAATGCCAGGATCCATTTTGATTCTATCGAAAACAAGCCGATGCCCGTGGCCTGTCCAGGTGTTGCGTCAAGCAAGCTTTGCCTGTGGTTTCAGACTTTGTTCTTTCCTTCTCCAACTTCGCCGTCAAAGCCGAAACGGCCCGTTGATCAAGGACGGGAAATGTGCTAAGGCTTTGGATGGCTTTGCTTCTTGCTATCGACCCCAACTTTGCTAAAGAGGCTCTGGAAAAGTGGGAGAGATGCCAGAGATGCTGAATTGAAACGGATCGGATGGCTTCAAAGCAAAGCAAAGCAAGGAGAAGGCCTACGATGGCAACATGCAATCCAAGAGCCCTTCATTGTCTCATGCGTTGAAAAAACCTACCTGGTTGCTGGTTGCACCATGTATATTGATCTTCAAGGATCTTCTTGTATCATCCAAATGGCAAGACCTCTTTCGTCAGCATTTCAGACCCCTGCCACTGTCTCCCTCCTTTTCGCTCGGCTTGAAGCGCTCGAGTCGGGCTTCGATCCACTGTCAGCTGCCAGCGGCACACCGGACGGACCCCACGCGTCGACCGTCGACCGCCCCCGCGAAACAGTGCCGGGCAACGACCGTCGACCGGGGCGAAGCCGGTCGCGGCCGGGCGGAGCGGGGGGACGACGCCGGAAGGCGGCGGGTTGGGTCGGTGGGCGGTGTGCCACTTGAAACGGGTGGCGCTGCTCCCAGTGGACTTCGCAGGGAGGGCCCCGAAAGAAGCATTCCAGGGATCCAAGCTTGAAGGCCCGAGACTCTGGTTTTGGCGCAGAACCTCCGGGCCCACATGGAAGATCCGATTGGAGACTGTCACGGTCGGGCAGTCGATGGATAAAGACAGCATCAGGTTGAAAGGTCTGTCTATCTGTGTATATATAGTTATGTTTATGTGTGTATGTATTGTATATATATATATAGCTGGGCCATTCATGCCGATTTCCGTTGATTCATTGGAAGCTCCTTCGGGCGAAAGAACTTGAGAGCGAGATGCAAATAAATCACCCTCTGGATTGCCGACTGTCTCTGCCTTTCTGTGTTGCTGAGACAGAGGCATCTCCTAAACATGCAGAATGCCTTGTGTCAAGTCGCAGCGGGAATCATTATCTAAACTATAGCCTTCGATGCATTTAATGACCAAATGTTCGGCATTGTGCGAGTCCTCCTGGAACCAAATTTGCCTGCTATCAGCAGCCATGAACTAGAGGCTTCCACAGCCATCGGAACAGGACACACAGGTCAGCTGAGACCCACTGGTCTCCACCCTTCTGTCAGCTGCCTTTGGTCTGAAACCGTTTTGAACCTGGTGCTGAATCTCTTGAGACCCGGCAACCTCATTTGTGAAGTCGTGCCTGATCACAGAAGAAACAGACCTCATCTTAGCAGAACAAGAAAACGTCCTCCCTGGACAACAAACGTCCTCCCAAATCATCTTCCCTGTCGAAAAATCCCCTTTTTTGCGTCCAGGATATATGTGTCATCTCCCAAAAGCAGGTTCACCATCTCGGAGAGATTTCTCCAGAACCCTTTCCAAAGCCATGTTTGTCACTCTTTCCGCCAGTTCGGACGTCTTCAGAGCATCCAAACCGGTGCTCAGATGGATTTGCGCAGGGCGATGATGGTACTGGTGAGTGCCAAAGCCATGGACGCGGCCATGGCCGGCTGCTCCTGTCGCAACAAATGTCGTCTTGTCGCAAAAAAAAGGGCACGAGGATGCTATGACCGGTCGTTGCCTCAAAACAGAGCCCAGTGGTGTGAAGACCAACGGGATTAAAAACATAGAAATAAAACATGGAAACAAGATGATTGCCGGTTTCTTCGGTTCGTGACCTTCTTGGAGTCCCTGTTTTGTGACTTTCTACAGGCCCTAGTAAGTGACCGAACCAACTCGAACATCGAGTTCGGTCACTTTGGAGAACTGTAACTGGCTGCATGTGTCTGGGAAAGGGAAAGTACTCTGCTCCTGCCTTGTGTTGGATGGATCTTGTCATGCCTGTTGTCCCAAAAAACTCCAGTGCCCAGTTCAACTGCAAAGTTCTTCCCAAACAGAACAGGGACATGAAATGGAGAGACCTATGGAAGTGTGGCTACAAAAGCCTTGCCCATTCGCATAGAAAGGGAAAAGAATGGATTGAACACATCCATCTCATCTCGTCACATCATGAAACTGGTCACCCCAAGTTGACCTCCAGCCTGCGCAGAACAGAACTCCAAACCTAAGGACCTATCATGTTCTTTCTGCACCATTTTCTTGGGTTCTACTGGTCAAAATCTGCCTCCACACCACTCCGGTCACCCATCCCGGAGTCTACTCCTCGATCCAATGAACCATGCCCTTGCTCTTCGGCTTGATGAGGTCCTGCACGCAGCTACCGGGTCTTTGGACCCACGGATCGAAGGAGTCGTGCGTCGTCCGGGCTCCGTGGGTCCCGCGACCGCCCGGGGGCCTCCCCGGTGAAGATCAAACAGCCCGGATGGGCTCCTGGCCCCACCGAACCCGTGAGGAGCAGGTGGGGGGTTGGGGTGGGTGGGTGCCGGTGCCTGTGGGGTCGAAGACCACCGGTCACCGGGTCGGAGATGGGACGATCGGAGCCCGACAAAAGAGGAGAGCACTTGGAGCCTGGTGTGAGTTGAAGTCGGGTGAGTTCGATGCATCTTCGCAGTTGTCTAAGCGTCTTCGCACTTGTGTATCAGTACGTGGAAGGCAGCTGCAAAGATCGAGCCTTCTTGTGTGCCAAAGGCCTCAACACTGTGTCGAGCGATGTTGAGTTGTCCAAATACACGTGTTTTTGGCAGGAAGATGTGCTTTACACTCTTACGAACTGGTGTGTGTGTGTGTCCCACCCTGGACAAAGGGTCTTACACCACCACTCTTCC